CCATATCAGATTCCCAGATACAGTTTCAGTGATACACGTATTGCGAAGGAGATACTCTCGAATGTTCGAATTTATTGCTACCTCCCATTTTATTAAGTTTTCAAGTATTTTAATTGGGCCAAAAAGGTGGTAAAATATTACTCGACATATTTTATCAGTACTTACTTGCGTATAGCAGCAACTTAAAGATTAACGTTATAAGCGAACATTCTTACACCGTATACAATTTGATTGGATGAATGAATGATTTGAAGTTATAATTGGAGATGAATTGGAATGGATTAATGAATTCGTTTTTGTGAACGTTTATATTTAGAGGATCGGTGATTGAGACGCATGTGCTGAACGAGATCGGTGGTGAGTCGGAATGCACACCCGCAGATGGCACAGCAGTTGTGATTGGGTGTTGGGACGGCTCCGAGGGCATTTTGAACCAATGGATTTACAGTTATGCGTTCACTGATCACTGCTGTAATTAACACTTTGAAACTCGCTTTTTCTAACGAAATCTTCAGTGAAAATGTCTGATTCCATAAATACATTCGACATTTTGGATCGCCAGTCGAAAATTTACAATTTCACCATTTATCTCCCATCTTGAGATGGATCAAGGTAAAGATTAGTTTGCAGCCAACTGTTATTAATCGCTCCAAGAATTAGCGCATTTGGTGACAATAGGTTTTCGAATGCAACCAGTAGTGAGTGAAATTGTCCTATGTCTATTTTTAGGTGGTTGAGTTGAATGATAAATAGTCAATATTCGTTCAGATTGCGATCTGCTTTTGTGAAAAGCCGCACGATCGTAATGACTTAAAGAATTTCATTTTCTTTAGCACTGATAAGTTTACACTCTATGTGAATGTTGATCGATAATCTTGAAGCGATAGCTTTGCTGATAACAACAGTAATGATAGTTGATAGTATTGAAGGATGAAATTGAAAAGCGAAGAAATTGCCATACGTGGTAAGAATGACGATCGTTGTTGCATTGGCAATTGACATTGTGATGGTATCATCGAAGGCTGTTGATATGCAACAAGATTGTTCACCGGCAGCTGTGCTATATGAGGTCTCGTGAGTTGCATATAATTCTGAATTGGTCTCAAGGAGTCAATTGATATGAATGAGTTGTGTTCAGCTTAAACATGAGAAATACCCTTCCACTTAAACTTTCCGATCTCGGATCCATTCAACTAATTGAATTGTTCGAGTATCGACCGACAATGGCTCGTGATTCTTAGCGGCTCATGATTGTAATATTTCACGCAGAATATAAGCTTAGCATCTCAGTTACCAATATTCAATCAACTGCTAATTCAATTCAGTCATTCATATGAATTTCGCAGATTTCCTGGTGAAACATCTTCAGTTTCCTTTCATTTCAGTAAGATCACTCGGTGGAGAATTATCAACGTACATTTTTGTCTCATAATGGCCATCACATCACCGTCCATTTACAGAAAGGCAAGCTTATAAAATCTTTCAATGTGACGGGGTATATATGTACTGTATTTCCGTCTTTAACAGTTATGAAACAATTGATGAAGTTATCACGTAATGCCGTTGCATTCGTTGCATTCAGATGATTACATGTGACATCGAATGCAACTCATCATGTGACGTGCTGACTAATCAATGTAAGAAACCATGCTGATTATATTTGAACCGTATTAGTTTTCATCTACCAACATATTGGAATAATCTGACAATAACTGGTTGCGATGAAGCAAAATTCCAAACTATATCTTTAACCCATCACATTGTACAATGAATTCAGTCGATCAGTTGACTGGCCTATTGATCAAAC